ACCTGCAGAGGTAAATTCTTTCTAAAATAACTTTTTAATGTTTTGCATTGTACGTTCAATTGTTACCAACTGCTGCTTTAATAGTGTGCTGACTAGGGGTGCAACAGCCAATCAGCATAGTCGACAAAAATAGATTATTAAATTCGTTGCCAGCGAAGAGCGTTGCAGCATTTCACTCTTCGCTCAGCCAGAAAGGTCGTGAACTGCAGCAAAGCTGAGCTCTCCTGGAAACACCGGAGCATCTGAAGAGGGGGCGCGTAACGTCGTGTCTCTGTGGATGATGAAGGCTGCATTCAAAAGTCTTTTTTGCTTAAGAAGTTTCCTAACTGAGTGAAGTGAACAGGAAGTATTACAGTGGCAGCCATGATAAGAGCTGGTCGAATTCTCTAAAAGCTAAGGAAAGGTGCCTCAATGCTTCCTTTCATATCTCCTTTAGCACAGGGTACATCTGACCATCCTTTACGAAAGGAAAGGGAGAATGACGTCCCACAATTCCTTGCGGCAGCAACATTTAAAGCGGCGCACATTCTCAAACTCAAATGATAAAATCCATCAACCACATTTAGCAAGATCCTTGCAATACAGATGCACATTATGATACTTTAATAAGACTCACAGTTACCTTCTTTCTTTTGTTTTTTTTGTAATCTGATACTGTTTCAACACCGTTTTATGTTTCGGTTTGTTGAATTGTTTTGGTAGTTGCATTAAGTATTTTCTACAATAAAAATAAATAAATCACCAACCATGACGGATAAAGGAGGTTGATCACCATGTAAGTTACCATTGGCTATTAAGCCTTTTCTCTCTTATGCCATAACTTGCTAATATGCATAGCCTATATCTTAAACTGTCAACAATAACTGAGACCCATGTCAGCTGTCTTGTAACGTGATCAAAGTGAGGATAATGTTGCAGCGTGTAGCCTCACGTTATGTACTGCAGCCTTCAGCAAATTAATACTTCAGTCACAGATGCTGACACCCTCGCCTTAATAAAGGCAAAGACCAAGCTGGATAACCTCTACAGTAGGCGTTTCCCACACACTGATTTATTTGTGGCGGCCTGCCACATTATCAATGCTGATTTTCGATTGACTTTGTTATTTAAAATGGGTAAAATCGTAAATGATGACGGAGCGCTGCACAGCACATATATATTCTCTCAGCATCTCCTCTCTGTCTGTCTGTGTCTCTCTCTCTCTCTCTCTCTCTCTCTCTCTCTCTCTCTCTCTCTCTCTCTCTCTCTCTCTCTCTCTCTCTCTCTCTCTCTCTCTCTCTCTCTCTCTCTCTCTCTCTCTCTGCACAGTTACTAATTTGTGGGAAACACTGTATTTACATACAACTGGGATTCATGTTGATAAATACGCCTATGGGTGGGCAGGAGGGTGAGTGTGAGCAAACATTCTCAATGTGACAACCCTGTCCATTATTTGGTGACTGGTAAGCTACCTTATCTGCCTTTTTGCTATCTTGGTTATTAAGTAATATATTCCACCGTGGTGTCCACCTTTAGATGGCCTGCGTTACAACAACACGGGGCGCATTGTAGTTTCATCGCGGCAGGTCATGTCAGTAAAATCCGCCGTCGCATAATTAAGTCGCTTAGAAAAGAGCAGTCGGATTCTCTTAGACCCGCCTTACGGATTTTCCTTCACATCTTTCCTTGACCTCATGACGTTTTCCATCGAGGTCAAGGAAAGGTGGTTAGGAAAGGAGATTTTTTTTTTTTTGACATTTCGGATGCAGCCGAAGAGTCGTCTCGGTTATGGCGTGTCGCCATATTATGGCGAGTGGATAGTGCCAAAGCAAGGATCACCAGGAGAAGGATAAGGAGCAGTCTACCCTGCCGTCGCCGCCAGACCGTGTGGATTTTTCAAAGGGAGTGATTGGAACTGCAGACGGGAGACCGGCGGCGACTTAGAATTCCTGTATAAATATACACCTATTAAATACATCTGAACTGAGTACGTCACCACCAGTACACCAACACAGCCTGTGTTAAATGCATTTATTCTTGTGGCGACTAGGAACTCTGGAGTGCATTGTCTGTGTTGTGCTTATTGTTTGGAGTCACTGTTGTCACTGTTGTTTGGAGTCACTGTTATTTTGTAAATGTAAAAAATGTAAAATGTAAATGCTCCGTACTTGTATAGCGCCTTTCTAGTCTTTCTAGTCTAGACCACTCAAAGCGCTTTTACACTACATCTGCATTCACCAGTCACACACATTCATACACTGAGCCTAAGTGCTCAAACGGAAACTAACATTCACACTCATTCGTACACTGGCGGAATAGCCACCAGGCAATTCGGGGTTCAGTATCTTGCCCAAGGACACTTCGACACGCAACCAGGGGGAGCCAGGCATTGAACCGCCGACCTTCCGATTAACGGCCAACCCGCTCTACCTCCTGAGCCACAGCCGCCCCATTTTTGTCCTATAAATATCCACTACTATAATAACTACTTATAAAATGAATCATTCAAGCATTAGAGCTGTGTTTCATGCTTATTCAGTTTAGTAAAGTTTGATGCTGTTCTGAAGCTTTTGATTGGTTCTCATGTTTTAATTTGCAGCGCCGCCCCTCTGCCAGGTAAACTGCCTCTCACTGTCTTTTTAAAATTGTTAACATTTGAAAACAAAACATTTATGGCAGCATCAAATGTGGGGAAAATATTTTTTGTGTATTTAATATATTATCTCAGTTAACAAATTAAAGATGGGAGTCTTGAACTTCAATTTGTCTCTATCTATAATGCAACAATGTAGCATCATTTCATGGCCTGTAGGCTGCTCAATTAAATTCCAAATATTACCAGTTATATTTTTGAAGTTATAGCTATAGTCTATTAACAAATACATGCAAAAACACGCTCAATGTAATTTTTAAAATACTTAAACAATTATTTGAGTTTTTGCAGCCTAATAAAAGACCAGGTCCAATAAAAAGGTTTCTGGAAGGAAAGACTTTTGCAGATTTCATCGACTAGATGGAGCCATAGCCTTTGTAATGTGCTGCAAATACATTTATTCATTTAGCTGACGCTTTTGTCCAAAGCGACTTACAATTGCTATACATGTGAGAGGTCGCACGCCTCTGGAGCAATTAGGGGTTAAGTGTCTTGCTCAGGGACACAATGGTGGATGGGATTGAACCCGGGTCTCTCACACCAAAGGCATAGTCTTATCCATTGCGCCATCACCACACCAATATAAGCAGAAATTTTTAAGTGTAGTTAAATTGCACAAACCTTTAATTTGCAGATTGTTTAGACTCTTAACTAAACAACATAATATAACCTTACTCATAACATTTTGACATTGTATTAATTTTTTGTGAGTTTTACAGGCCCTTGTCTTGTCAGAATACACCTTGTTCTGAGTAACTATTTGATGTGTATGTGGGCATGGCGCTGTGTTTAGTTTGTGAGATTGAGTGTGATGTAGTTTTCGTGTATAAACAAGTTTAAAGCAGACCAACGGAAACAGTGATAGCTGCCATTAACGTGGCCAAGTTCTCTCTACACTTTCCTGGAAGCATGTAGTTTCAGAGTCCATGAACTTTAGCAACTCTTGCTTGCTTGCTTCCAGCTTCCTCAGTAGCAATGAGAAGGCCATAGGTGTCATTTACACTGGGGACATTTGAAATGGCTGATGGCAGTATTTGTTAAAAATGTTCTGAAAAATAGCTTCCACGAAGAAATGTTAACTAACAAATGAAAATGCTAGAGAAAGGTTTATTTGCACAATAAGAAAACATGCAATGAAATTTAAATATAAAAGAAACAAATGTGCAATGTCCAAAAAAAGTAAGCTAAAACATACAAGCTGCTGATCAGTGAATTATATTCTGTTATATTTTTATATTCATGAATTGTCACCTGCTGGCTGAATTAGACATTTCCACCATAAATTGGAGCAGAAAATGTCTCCAGAATGCAGGAAATTAAGTGTTTAATGCTCCTAATTTTCTCACGGTGGACTCTCATATCTTTCAGCATTTCTTGTTTCTTTAAAATAGTGTTAAAAATAAATAATTCATTTATTTTACGTTATTTAACGTTTTGTGATTGGGAGGGGGAATTTATTGAACATATTTCTAAAAAAGATATTTTGCACCAAATACGAAGTGATTTAGGCGGGAAACGCTGCTCCCTTATGGCTTTTGCAAATAAGGAATCGTTTATAATCATTTTACAGTGTGAAACATATCTGAACCAGTGGAGCAAAGAAACATGTCCATGATGTGAACGGGAGCAAACCCACCGCCAAATGAAGACACTCCTGCTAGAATACATTTTCTTCCAATCTTCTACTTATCTTGTCCCTCTTTTCTTCCTGTGCAGATGTGTCATAAAGCATCTGGAGGGTTTGGTAGTGCAGTACGATCTGACGGTGAGGGACAGCGATGGATCTGTGGTCCAGTTCCTGTACGGTGAAGACGGGCTGGATATCCCCAAGACTCAGTTCCTGCAGCCAAGACAGTTCCCCTTCATAGAGGACAACTATGAGGTGAAACGGAGCAAGACACTAACCGCGTTGTTGTTGGTATCATGTCGTGAATAATTACATGTACAGAAATAACGCAGATGAAATTTTTATTTTTTTATTTTTTATTTTTTTTACAAAGCATTAAAAATTACCTAAGCTGTAGAAATTTGCCTTTATACTGAATTCTGTGAAGGTAACGCAGTGAACCAGCTTCAGATTTTCAAAGAAGCCTCAGAGACTCTGATCGAGCGTAGGCTAAACCACAAGCACAGCTGCTGCTCCTGACAACAGAGGTGTAAACCTGACTCAGACTTTAAACTGCAGCTATGCTAATGACAGAGCATGAGGACTAATCCACAGTCCGCTGTAAATAAGTATTTAGAAAAATCGCAGCCTTGTCAAATTCAGTGCTTCCTCCTCAGTGGATGCCACTGGCCAAAATGGCTGCCACAGTGAAGGTGTAGTTCATGGGCCCCATGGTGCTCTAACATGGCCACTGGGGATAAATATGTACTACACACAAACACTAAGCGGCACGAGCTGAACTAGTGAATATCACTCTCCAGTTGTTCATCACTGAAAGTAAATGTTAATCTTGTAACTGTGTAAATGTCATAATGTATTTGTCCTTTTACAACACAAATTTGTATAAGAAAATGCAAGCTGTTCCTTTTAAATGTTAAACCAAAACGTTAGATGACAAGATTGATACCACTTCCCTGTAGTTCAGTGTTTTACTGGTGCGGTTTGAGGTTAATGCTCACCACACAGTCGAGTCTTTTTATTTAGCACAGAGAAGGGAAGCTGTGCATATCTTTTAAACAATGTTGTTGTCTTTGTGTTTGAATAAAATATGCCGTTTGGTAGAACAGTAACCTGAACAGTGTTTTAAAAAAACAAAAACAAAAAAAAACAAACAAACAAAAAAGCCACCAACCAAGTGTTTCCTCATTCCTGGTAGGTCATCAAGAGGTCCCAGGGTCTGGATGAGGTTTTGGCACGTTTGGATCCTCACACTGCTAATAAACATTTTGGGGCCATCCAGCGCTGGAGAGCAAAGAGGGAGGTGGCATGTCCACGCAGAGGTACATTTTGTTCTTACGTCTCGCTGCTGTCTGATTTATAATCAGATATTGAGATATTGTAGTGTATTTAAGTTGATTTAAAATGCATAAATTGTTTGGAAATCTATCTAACTCAGTTTCTAATATTAAATAAGATAGGTCTGAAAACTCACAATGAGCTTTTCTAGATCAGTAGATCATGAATTTGAAGGTTGTACATTGCCTATGTGAACGTCAGTCTGTAATGTTTGGGCATGTGTGTTTTTGTTTTCCGTGTCAGGAGCGTTCTTGCTTTTTTCCCAGAAGAAGTTGGCCAAACTGAAACAAACAGAAGAGCAAAGAACAGAGCCACAGCATGTCCACAGCAGAAGGGCTGCTGCACTGCAGGTATTTATGCCCAACAAAATTCAGATGTCTGAGAAATGTGCCCATTTTGGTGTCACACTCACAGCCTCAGTACACTACAGTCATACAGTATGAAGTGGACTGCTGACCCTTTAACCTAGTCAAACCAAACTCTCATTTGAACTCGTGCTTCCTCCGCAGCTCGTTCAGCAGTGGCACTCCCTGGATGAATCCAGCAGATCAAAATACAGCAGGAAGGCCTCCCGTTGCCCTGAGCCCTCTCTGGGCTTGTTAAGGCCTGACGTGTGCTTTGGATCAGTATCTGAAAACTTTCACGACATCACAGACAAGTACCTGCAGGACAGAGGCTCGGTGAATCACAACAGCCTGGATGCCAACAGGTACTGAATAAATATCTGTTCCTGTAAGGAAACGTAATACAGCTTTCTTAAAACTGAAATGACAGTGGAAAACTCCTTCCCTTTTGTATTCCTAAGCCAAATATGCAAGCATGTAAGGATTTAGATTTGGTGACACTTCACCTTGGATTTGTCGAAGGGACTCCTCGCCATAGCACTGGACATTGCAGGGGCGCTTGCTTTCACAATAAAACAAGGGAGCATATTACTGCCCTTTATTTGGTCATTTCAGGGATTCCCCTCTACCTTGATAATTTTACAAACATAATTAATAATACCATCAGATGCTCAGAGTAAATCTTTTTGGCAGGGCTACAAAAAGTTTTTCCTTTGTGTGAGCTAAAATAATCCCTGTCTCTCTCTGTGCGATCTCAGCCTTCGCCAGCTTCTGCACTATAAGTGGCAGCGCTCGCTGTGTGATCCAGGTGAAGCAGTGGGTCTGCTGGCAGCGCAGTCCATAGGTGAGCCCTCCACCCAGATGACCCTCAACACCTTCCACTTTGCTGGCAGAGGAGAGATGAACGTCACTTTGGGAATACCTCGGTAAAGTGCCTCCACGCCGAACGCGTTCTTTCCCTTTTCATGTACATGGGAACACGTTATCCAGGGCAAACACCAAGATGTGTGTAGTTCCTCCGCAAGATAATTAAAACACACCTTCCATTGCTGCAAAAAAAAAAAACCATGCCCCCTCCCCCACTTTTACCCACCAGTATTCTGTAGACATTGAATTTACTTAGGTGCAGTAATAGTACACATGATGTACTGCCTAATAAATAAATAAATAATAAAGAAATCAAATACTGTCAAATAAAAGGGGAAATGCCCCCACGTAACTATTCCTGTCCTATTTACAGCAGTGAGTTATGAAAAGAAAGGGTGGACGTGAACATGAAGTGCAACAGTCTGGTTAAAGAAAGATCAACTGTGAAGTGCAAATTCAAAGAGGCTTGTCAGTAGTCTGCACCATACAGTGGTGTTACCACTCACCTCAGGCTACGTGTTAGAGCATCACAGTCAATCTGAAGTTTGGGCCCGACAGCTCCTCCTTACTGCCGCACTGTGAGCATGAGTCATTTAACAGTTTATGTGTAACCTATCATATTTTGATAATAAACTGCTCTTATTGTGTAATTCAAGTCTAGGTAGCTGCACAGTATTTTAGCCAAACATGTGGTTTGAATACATTGAAATTAAATTAAAGGTAATTAAATACTGATCCAAGGCTGTAGCCTCCATAGCAAGAAGCATTTGTTGCCATTTAAAATTAACAAAAGATTAAAGCACCAGACACCCTGAAATCCGTTAAAAATTAAATTATTTCGATGCAGAGTACAGATCCAATACCAGTGTAAAATAAATAACTGTATTCCTCTCTGTGCGGACAAGACTGAGAATCATTCTTTTATATGTAAGGCAACACCAGGCTAGACTTAAACAGTTAGCTTCCTAACTTTGTGAAACAAAAGCGATGTTAGCTGTCCTAGCAAAATGTTCAGGTCCACCTGATCCAGCTTTGAGTCAGTGTCAGATTGGTGCATCTCTAGTGATGCTCACTGATTAGTGCCTAGAAGTTGGTTTCATTTCAGATTGTTAGGGACAAATAAGATTTGAAACAGGCTCATGAATGCATATTTAAAATCAAATAAAGTTGTAATTAGATATGTCTCTCTTGTTCCCTTTGCTTTTCCTTTTCTCTGAGAAATATTATGCTTTTTGCACTGCCTGTATTTTAACTTGGAGTCTGTGAATTTGTCGTGTTGTGTGCAAGACAGGTTGGGGCTCTGCAAATCTCATAGCGGGGCAGTTCTGGAGTTAATTGTACAAAAAGCCTTTACTGAAACACCTTTCTGACATCAGCACTTCCTAATTTTGTCTTGTTTACTCTTCCCTGCTTCATTCATCAAGCCTTCCACCATACTTCTCCTCTCTGCCTCACTCTCTCTATACATGTGTGTGTCTGGCAGACTGAGAGAGATCCTGATGGTGGCCAGCTCCAACATTAAAACTCCCATGATGAGCGTTCCCGTGCTAAACAACAGGAAAGCCTTGAAGAGAGCCAAGATGCTCCGTAAGAAACTCACCAGAGTCTGTCTGGCTGAGGTAAGTTTCAGCTTCTCCTGTGTTTGTTCCTTGTTTTGGTCTTACTCTACTTACTTACACTTCTATAATCCCTTTTTTGCTTGACTCATCTTCCCATGTCTATCAGTTCTGTTTGTGGCTTTTTTGGTGTCTCTTTGTCAGGTTTAGTCACACTAGAATTTTCCCTTTCTTCACCTTTTTGTGACTTTTTTTTCACTTTGTGTTTGCACATGTAAATAGTAGTGTTCCTAGTTGTGTTTGGAGATGTCCTTACCCGTGTGCTTACCTCACACTTTTGCATTTGAGAAGTGTGTGGGGAAGTAAAAGCTAGAACTCACCACAACTTTGTGGGGTGTGTGTGGGTGTGTGTGGTGTGAGAGCAGGTGCTGCAAAAGGTTGATGTTGTAGAGACATTACGGATCGAAAATCACGAAAAGTTGCGGACATTCAAGGTGACCTTTCACTTCCTGCCTCCTGACCGTTACTGTGACGATAAGCTGCTATCACCTGACCAGATCCTCCACTACATGGAAACTAGGTGGGTGGGTGTGTGTGGGTGGGTGTGTGAGGGCTGTTAGTTTCCCTGTAGCAGAATCCATTATGAAATGATAACCTCATATTAACCTCTCATCTGGTCTGTTTTTACTCTTTGTTTGGTTGCCTGTTCTCCCAGGTTTTTCCGTCTTCTCCTCGAAGGCATTAAGAAGCGCAGCGCCAAGCTGGCCTCCATCGCCGTTGAAACGAGGAAGGCCACGCTCAGAGATAAGGACACCGTTGGTGATGGAACCGCTGACACAGCAGGGGTTTGTTTTTAATTGGCCTATCTTCATTTCATTATCCCCTTTTGTAGGTTGTCACTCGTCATTGAATGTTTTATCTGAACTTTGATTTCCCTTCTTTTGAATTCCAAAAAAAAAAGCTGAAGTATGTTTGTTGTTGACATTCATCAGGTAGATGACGGGGATGGAGAAGAGGAGCGAGAGATTGTTGATGACCAGGGGAACGAAGGAGACGCTGATGCTTCAGACGCCAAGCGCAAAGACAAACAGGAAGAGGAGGTATGAAGATGGAAGGAGTACTTCTTTTTTGTTTCCTTTGGGGCGTTCACCCAAAGAGAAACATATTTATTTTCAAAAAATGCTAAAAAGTGTTTACAAAGTTCTCACAAACATTCTCTATAATATCCTAGGCTCTACCTGGACCCTTCAGGCAATAGGTAACGTCCTCCCCTTTTAAAAAAGGTGTATATATTAGTATTCAAAAAGAAAAAGAAATATAGCTGCAAGCGGCGCTAATCAGGATACAAGCAAGCCGTAAAAAATGCAACATTCGACATTTTCAGAGAAGAACAGATGCAGATGATTTAAGAGATTAAAGTAATGAAAGAATTTAGTCTTGGAGATAATTGCGAAAACGCAAACTTGAGTGTCATTATATGTACCTGACTACTGGGTGAAAGGTTCAACCCACCTGCAACACTTTGTGTTTAAGAGTTTAAGCTGCACAAACACTTTTTAGCAGAGAAAAATAAGAAAGTGTCATGGGACCCAAATAAAATGGAAAAATTAGACTCAAGCAAGTCTGACTTGGTCACCTGGGGATTTGAACCCTGGAATTTGCAAAACCCTTTTTACTCCCCTCCAGCTCTCTCTGTAGCTCAGACGATCCCTGCTACCTGTGCTAATCCATTCTTTCACCCAGATTCTTTGTCTTTATAATTGCTGTCTTTATAATAACAAACAGCTGTTTCGTCTGTCTGTTCGCATCATTTCCCGTTTCACATTTCACGTGTTTTCTTGACAAAACGTGGTTTGGAGACCAGCGTTGGGTGACACAGCCGCTATCAGCTCCACCATGTCACAAGTTCTCACATGTGCCATACCTGGATAGTTTTGTCAGTTACAACAGTCAAAATGCTGATAAGAAAATTCTGAAAAAAATCACACATCAATCTGCTGTTTTAGGTGTGTTGTCAATTATTTTGGTGCCATTTGATCCAACACTGAGCAAAAAAGAAACTGTTGTGCATACTGTACAAGTTACAGCAAGACCACGGCCATCTAGAGGATGACTGTGTAGATTTTGGTAGCGTTTGAAGAAAGACAGAAAGAAAGACTGAAAAATATAGAGTGACAGACTTCTGAATTGACCATAGGTTGCAGTGAGGCAAACGTTAGTCACACATCAGTGGATGTGCTGAAAACATTTCAGCTCTCTAGGACGTATAGGGGATTTTCTTAGATTTATTGAAGTTTGGAATGAGAAATGTCTAGAAATTTACATTTCTTGTACTAAGCCACGCCCACTTTGAAAAATCATTACCAAATTTTATGCATGAACTAATTAGTGGCCCCAGATCATACAAACCGAATTTTGTACGAATCCATGCAGCGAATTACGAAGTATGAAGTTTGGTTACAATAGCTTAAGCCAATTTTGATTACAGGCATTTAGGTAAAATATTATGTAAAGACACAAAAAATTCTTTTGATATGTTTTGATCAGCGGCGATCCTCATCAGCAGTGATCCTGCCAAAGTTTCAAGTCTGGGACGAGTTCGCAAAAATAGGTTTTTATAGAAAAGTGGTAGAAAGTAGAAGTTTGACTCTAAACAAAGCAGTTTTCGAGTAATATTGCAAAACGCAAAGTTGATTGTTATAGCGTCACCATGAGGTCCAAGAGTGCCATTTTTTACCTGAGTAGTGGATGGAATTTGCAACCTACGTGCCAATTTTGGTGAGTTTTCGTCCAGCAGTTTTTGCTGCCTAAACACTTTTAGTGGAGAAAAAGAAGATAGAAAGAAAGAATATTGAGGGGGAAAAAAACAACAGGGCTTCGCTGCTTGGATCCCTAATAAACAGCAGAGCAATCTCCTCTATTCAACCAAAATCAACTCACATCAACTAATTCTACTCCTCCTGAGCTTTAGGGTCAGCAACTTAAATAAAGAAAAAGACAGGGAGGACCCCACACCCATTTCTCAAACAATCAGTGGCTATCAGAACTTGATCATTACATTTACTCATTTGGCAGACGCTTTTATCCAAAGCGACTTACATTTGAGGAACAACATACAAGCATCAACAGAGCATCAAATACAGACCTACCTAATACATACTAGTAAGAGCTCATAGTACATATAACATCAATGGGGTAAATACCTAGGGAAGGAAGTTAACAAAAAGTGCAGTCAATACAAGATAATTGAAGGGGATAGAAGAAGAAGAGCACAGGAAGTGCATGTTAGTGGTTAGGAGTTAGAGGTGATATAAGAGGAAGTGTTCTCGGAAGAGATTAGCTACTTGATCATCACATTGATTGTTTTTTACATTACTTTTTCCTTTTATGAGTAGATGGTCCTTCTGTCCAGTATTTGCCTCAGTTCAAAATATTTTACCAAATAAGGAAATAAAAACCTATCATGCAGATCTCTATAAATCATGTTAGTATAATATTTTTTTTCAGAATACATTAAACCAATTCATGTCAACAGTCATTTCCCCTTTTATTTTCTCTCTTTTTGACTTTATGATGGAGAGAAAAGGCCTTCCTCCTGCACAAAATGAGGAGGCTTGCCTTTTCCCAGCAGTGGATACCACATTAGCATATAGTGCCTTTTTTGCAGATCAAAACAATTATTTTGACATCATCTGGGGATGCATATATGGGACAAACAAGTTTTAAAGTTTACTAAAAAATTACTATTAACTTAACAAAAATAATATAAAGTCAAGAAGTACAACTCCTGCCTGACTCACTGATTTCACACCACTTTATCACACCTCCCTTCATATGGGCGAGATAAACACATCTGTCATAAGGGCGTATTCTCGATTTGTTTTGTGGTTTATTTACAGCGAAAGAGTGTTGAGGGAACTAGCGTTTTATTTTGAGACTTCAGCATGCACCGACACAGAGAAAGGTCAGGTACAAGAGATGAAGAGATTTAGGACTTATTAAAGAAATAAAGACAGTATCTCAAATGAAACATCTTTCTCAAAATTTGTGCTTAAGCAAAGGCAAATCATTTTACTATATGGCTTGTATATGTGTCATACAGTCAAAAGGATTGTATGCCACAAAGTACCCTGACCAGAGTCCGTCCTAGAGAGTGGGGCATGGGTTAGTTTTGCAGGCTCCACACTGGAAGTTGGCATGTCTTTTTTTTTTTATTTCTTTCTGGTTCCTAAGGTAACTCCCAAACCGCTTCAGCTCCCTAACCTCCATTTGCATTTTGTCAAATCTTTTATATAATCTTCTGATCTTACGAGCCATTTTGAGCTTCTTGGCTGGAGGATTTTCTGCTTGTACGGTGACACTTGCCTCAGCACGAGCAACCTTTTCATTTCCACAACATTTTAAAATTTCCAATCATTTAAAAGTGATAATCACAAACGCTTAAACAACACTTTGATTGGCTTAGCAATGCATTTAAGCAATTAAACTTTGTTATATGCTGAGGAAAGTAAGGAAAAGAATAAGAGCCAAAGTAAAAATACTTTCATTCTGTCAGTCCTGAAGCTATCTCTCACAAAACATAATGTTTGTACAGCATTATTTTAATGGTGATTAAGAAGTGCCTTTGAGCAACCACACAGCAACATAAGTTAATAAGATGCAATGTATTCAGCAGTTTTGCTACAAGCAATTTTTATCTTATGAGATGATTCCTTAAAGGGTGAAAATAGAGAAATAAAATGATTAATAATCAAGAAATGATTTCTCTTGCTATATTTTCTGTCAAAGTGAAGCATTTAAAAACATTTCCCCACCAATTCTATCAAATACGTCTTTATATGAAAACGTTGTGTTACATAATATTCTTTGCAAGTATATTTAAACATTAGGATACTGAACTAAGGTTCATTCTGTTTTTTTATTTCTTTTTTTTATATATCATCATATATATATATCATACTTGTGGATACACAACAGCACTTACTGACAGTAACGAGTGTAGTCACCAGCTCGAGGAAAGAGAATGTGGAAGAGATCAGACCCGACACAGAGATCAGAGGCTGCAGCGTGACCCTGAAAGTGATTTATCGGTTAGCACTACAATCCATTAAGTAGATGTTGAGATATTTATACAGTTGCATCTTGTGGGAAAAGACATTTTTTTCCCTTAATTTACACTTTATGTGTAATAAATCTAAAATATATGGAACTTTCACTTTTTGACTTAAATTACAGAAACAATTAACCTTTCCACGATATCCTATTTTCATGAGATACATAGACTCTTGGAAGTCATGCTCTGTCTAGCGTGCTGTGCCCACTCCATTATAGTGACCTGCTAACAGAATAGTTTTGGTTGCAAGGATCTGGTCCCACCTTAGTACCAAACATAACCCTCCCTGATTTGAACTCTTTTTTTTAACCAGTTGGGACTTTTAATCATTGAGTAGATTGTGGCCCTGTGCTAATGTGTGGCTGTGTGGAATTACTCACTGAGATCAGGAGGGGTGAACGTATTCTATTGTACCTTGAGCTGTTCACTCAAAGGACCTTTTTATTATAGTACACTTCAGGTTACGCAAAAGCAAAAGAACAGCTGAGCCCACTGTAATACCAAAAACTGCAACTTTTATAGAGAAAACAGAGACGCTTGCTGGGATTGGTGGATCTCTAGTGTCCATGCAGACATGTCCTTGTGATTGGATGTCCTAAGGTGTCCAATCGAGCAAAGCATGTCAAAAACTATGTGATTGGATGTTTGGACAATACATCAAACAATCAATACATCCGTCATAAGAAATTCACTTGTTATGGGCAACACACTCTAATACGGTTATATTTGCACTTTCGTGATACTCAAATTAAAAGTAAATCAGTCGTGTAATAAATTTGTAATAATAAGTCAGCAAATCAATCATATTTACCTATTGTGATGCCAAAGCAATGTTAAAGTAAATCGGTAAAATCGAAGACTTCATGTCAAAGTCACTTTTCTACTGTCTAAATGGAGCACTCCACATTTTCACACCCTCAGTCACATTCATAATATGGTGAAACTTTAAAGCAGTGCTACATAAAGCTAAACTACATCACCCAAATGATTAAACCAGTTACCGGTAATACCAGTTATAAACTTTATTTATACTGATACTATTTTTCAGGCAAAACACATTATTAAAAATTGTAATTTAGCATCCTCAATCGTTTTAAATAATTTATCATCCTTATTATATTTTTAGAAACATGTCAGGGAAAATAATTTCTTTCCAAAGAATACGGAATCAAATAGATGTGTTGAATCATTTCTTTATGTAACGTGGCCACTGAGAGAACACATGGTTACTCTCCCGAACTCAGCATTTCCTCTCCTTAAGTACAGAACAAGTACAAAACAGTTAACCCCATACTTCTATGTGTAAGACTTTATTGTCATACTGCACCATGTCCGTCATGGAGGGCTCTGCAGTGTGTGATTTAAAACTGCTCTGAAGATCATTGGTGAGGTGCCTACGCAGAGCCCAAATGATACTAAAGGACAGTACCCACCCAGCCACAACCTGTTCACCCTGCTGCCTTCTGGGAAGAGATATAGAAGTTTCAGCTGCCACACCACCAGACTTTTTCCCCCAAGCTATCAGACTCTTAAACTCTAATTCATCCTCAGCACTGCTCCATTGATTATAGTTTATTTCTGTTTACCATTTTTATAATTGATTCTATATTACTGTATATTGTCTGCTACGTAGCAGAAGGGAGTTACAAACTTAAATTCACTCTACAGCCTGCTGTATTGTGACAAATAAATCAAACTTGTACCTAGTCTCCAAGTGTTACAACTCAAGGTCACCTTCTATCATTCTAAATATTTTGGAAGAAGTAACATATAAAGCATTTTCACAATATTTTCACATGTCCAATCATTTCCTTAAAATACATTTCTACTGTCAATACTGAAGCATACAAAACATCATGATTACACAACATATTACAGAACATTATAATGTGTGATGATGCGTTTTAACAACTACAATATGATTTGGTTATAATGACTAAAAAGATCTGCCAGTTGGATAAGCAAAAATGACTTAAGTCCTACTACATTTCAAGTCTGAATGTAAACTGATTTCACTCACCTAGTTTTTTTTTTTTTTTTTTTAATGAAGTGTTTGCTATGAAAACAACAATATCTGTTGTTTGACATAAAGAAACCTTATTCCATTACACTCAAGCCATTATAGAACGATTAATGCCCGTCTCTGCTTTCCTCTGCAGGTGGACTATGAGAGTGAGGAGGACGAGGAGGAGGAGGATGGAACGGATGATGGTGAGGATAAAGATCAGGGTGACGAAGAGGAGGGGGCGGAGGAGAACGTGGAGGAGCCCCAGCCGGAGACTGCAGGAGTGGAGAGGAAGAAGAAGAAGCGAGCAAAAAGAGGGCGAGGAGAAGGAGAGGAGACCCTGAATCAGATGAGAGTGAACTCTGTTCTGGAATCCAACCCGGCGATAGAGAGATATCACTACGATGTCCAGCATGAACTCTGGTGTGAGGTGAGTTTGCACGTGTTACACAAGCAGATTTGATTTGAACGATTAGATTTTGAACGTTCTTGTTCAGATTAGACTTCACTGAAGAAGCTGTGAATGGGATGCAACCTACAATCATTGTCCTACAGCTGGTCTGTGCAGCCACAGTCTTATATAGTCACATAACCCTGCTATCATCCAACTAAAACACTAAAAACACATAAAAGGATCCACCACCTTCTGTTCATCAGAACTTACTTATATAACAACTCTATGAAGCTGTTTACTGCAGCTATTTATAATTTTGCACTGCATCCTGTTATATCAAGCCTGCTGCAGAGATAAAGAAAAACCTAGCACTATGCAACTAGCAATATGCTGGTTCTAAACTATACAAACTGCAGCTCTCAGATGTCTTCAAAGTGTTAGCAGTGCTTTATAAATATATCATATTATATATTGTTTGAACCTCAATCCCTCCTCCCAAATCTCGTCTCCCCCTTCACAGGTTGACCTGGTCTTGCCGGTGAGCAAGGTGCACTTCGACCTCACCTCACTTCTGTCAACACTGGCCCACAATGCCGTCATCATGGAGACCAGAGGCTTGACACGCTGCCTGCTGAACGAAGCCACCACAAAGACTGGAGAGAAAGAGACCGTTCTCAACACAGAAGGCATCAACATGCACGAAATGTTCAAGCACAGTGACGTAAGTGTGGGCAGGATAGTGTGGTTAAGCACTATAATATACAGAGTTCACAGATGAATTGACTGTAAATCACATAAACAATATGAAATTCTGTGACTTAAAAAATCAAAGAGTTTATGGTTAGGGTTAATTGCTTAAGAAATGTTTTTTGCACCAGATCTTGGACATCAACAGACTGTACTCCAATGAGGTCCATGCCATGGCTAACACCTATGGGATTGAAGTGGCTCTGAAGGTCATAGAGAAGGAGATTAAAGATGTCTTTGCCGTCTATGGTACACACACACACACACACACACACACTAGGGTTGGGCCGATAGACGATGCCTCGTCTGCTCCATTTTCTCCATCAGCAGTATGTTTTATAAAGTCGCCTAAAAGACTGACAACCGTATATTTCCACCTGCATATATAAACACCAGTTGCACAGATTGCAGACCACATGGCTGTCAGAACCACTCAGGTTTTGTCTGTGTCTGTCTCTAGGTATCGAGGTGGACCCCAGACATCTGTCACTCGTAGCAGATTACATGTGTTTTGAGGGTGTATATAAGCCCTTAAACCGGCATGCCATCCAGTCCAACTCCTCCCCTCTGCAGCAGATGACCTTCGAGACCAGCTACAAATTCCTCAAACAGGCTACCATGCTGGGTGAGGAACAGACTATATTCCTGATAATGCCAGGATAAATAACATGCAAAGCGATTGCTACACATTGATTTGAGTTTGTAGTTCTTGCATGCCTGAATGTGAAAAAAGACTGTCGATCAAGGTTAGTGAACAAAGCTTTGAGGGTATTAGCAGAGCTTTTCTAGAGGTAGTTAGTGCCACAGTGGATTGCTTAATCAGGTTTGATGGTTCAGTCATACTTAAAGGGGCAAGCTTGAATTTGTCTGTTTGTATATCCTTCCATCCTTATCATTCCTACTGCAAGAACTCAACTGCCCGGAACCCAGAATGAAGCTTGTTGTCACATGTTTTGCTTTGATTGCATTCATTGTTTTAGTTTCTTGGACGTCTTGACACTGCTCAGGAGAAGACGGTCTATATAGATTATAATTACTCTCTGGGGCATGTTGGCAGTGGCGTCAATTGTGATTGTAATGTGTGCATGTATACAACACATATTGCGTTCCTGCGGTGGACAATGAAGCTAGTGTGTGGTTTTTACTAAAATATAAATACTAAAGGTTTTCAGTTACTAAAATCAGCTTTCCACTTTTTGAGATTTAGTGGAGCAAAAGTCACTTTGAAATAAAATAGGCTATAAAATCCAGTTTGAGCAGGATTCATAATTCATGGCAATAGTAACTAAACTTTTCACCATTATGTACTCTGTAACCTCAGAGCCACCGCTGCCCTTGTTGTTGTGTTTATGTGTGTGTTTCTTTCCTTTTTCAGGGTCA